GGGAATTTGGAAAGAACAGTCCAAGAGTCATCCAAAATCAACACCACAACTATATTTCTTTCTGAAAAAGATTAATGAAAAATGCAAGTTAAAAGTTCCTTTCAGTAAGTTTAGCAAAAGGGAATGATTTCAGTAGAAATAACTTTTTTCTAAAACTTTCAGTTTTCCTATGAAAGGATAACATTTTTGTCTTAACATAGCACATACCTTGAAAATAAAAACTTTTCAGATACTTATGAAAAGAGACTTGTTTTGAAAACAAAAGTTTGAGTGAGTATCTGGGAAATAGCAATGCCATGTACAAACACTAGCTTTATGTAAGAGAAATACAGTATATCTGAAAATCAGTACAACAGAAAATCTAAGAAAATTTTTAATGAAAAAAGTATAAAGCATAGCTTTAAAAACGAAAGTCTTTGAAAATGCTAATTGAGATGATGTATCTGGAACAACCCTGGCAAGAGCCAGAGCTTATTAAATTTCAGGGGTAATCACTAATGACCCGGATTGTATGCATTAATGAGATTCTAACACTAGCTGCACAAAAATATCAGGCACACTATCTTTCAATCCTCTAAAATATTCAAAGCACTTTCAAATTAAACTTTGGTAGAGATTTTTGTTGTGTGGATGAGAATAGCATGCAGATTAGCCATCTGGAGGGACATGAGAAAAGATTACAAGTAATAGACTGTAATAGGAAACATGGCAGGGCACCAAAGATGAACTTGCTGGACATTATTTATTTTACTTAAACATAATCCTGAAGTAATCCTAGTCTCATGGTTCTTTATATGTGTAGGGGTAGAAAGGTTCGTGATACCTTTCATTACCCCTCTTAAGAGTCAAGGCTGACACTCCTGTAGCAAAAGACGAGAAATGTATAACAAATGTATTTAATCAAAGTTTTACCTAATACCGGAGCCCTCAGAAATGAAGACCAAAAGACTCGGAAATAACTATTTTATGCTTAGGATTGCTGAAGAATGGACAGCCATATAAAAATGTAATTGAATAAATAAGAAAGTGTTGACTGTAATAGACTGACGGGGGAAACCCAGCAAGGCCATCCAGATTCTTGGCCTCTGCAGCATGACTTCCCCCTGAGCATGGGGCAGGACCCATCTGGAATGAATGTCATCGAGGCAAAAGGGAGAGAGTGAACTTTTAAGTTTCATGGCTTGTTTACAGGATGAGGGATTCCGATTTCTGTGACTTTCTTCAAGGGGAAAAAAGGGGTGGAAGATAGGAGAGAGACAAGGGCAGAAGGACAGAAAGACCTTGCTTCTGAAGCTCTTCCAGTCTCCTTCAGTTCAAAGTACTCAGCATGCCAAGGTGTCATATTTGGAATATGGTGTTTTGAGCCCCCAATAGTTGCAAGTTGTAATTATCTCCAGAACAGTTGAGTTTATTCAATGATATCCATTGAATATGAATGAATGATCACATGCACTGTCATCCAGAAAAAGCTAAACTAATGAGCCTCAAATGGAGAGCAGCAGCAAGATATTCATGTCAGTGTCTTAACATTCATATGATTCAACAACCCCATTACCAACTGACAAAATATTTCCCTACACCCACTATGCTGATTCTTATGAAAAGTTAGGATTGCTATTGTATAATGATATATGGAAGAGTATGTCTAGAATTTAATGCCTCATGGATATTACGCTAGAATTCAGAGTATATTGGGAAAACACACTAACCAGAAAGATGAGAGAAGATGAAGAGGATAGAAAACAGTGGTAAGAAATAGACCTGCTACTGTTTATGTATTGAATTAAAAGAGATAATGAATGGTAAACTATGAATGGGAATATGCAATGTAAGCTATAAGAAAGGACTCTTGAAACAACAGGGCGACCTGCAGGGAGGAGTCTTGAATTAAATAATTAACTATCTGAGCACAATCTAATAATATGGGGAAAGAAAAAGCATTCCAAAGTCCACTTCCCTGCAGAGGATGGGAGAAAGAGAACTAGGGAGGAAATGGAAGTATTATAAGAGTCTTATTTTAAAATAAGTGGGAAATTCTTGGTTAGGGAAATAGTTCGTACTGGGTCATCAGGCAATAGTAGACAAATACGTATATGATTGTGAATTCAGGGACAAGAAACTAATCCTTAATGAGTGTGAATTAGAGTAGAACTTCCAAATTATCAAAGGGAAATACTGAATTAACAGCAATGTTATCAAGGTAGCAAAACTAAGGAAAAGAAAAAAATACAATAAATACACTAATATATAATAAATAATAAACAATGTAAGATGAAGAAATATTTTGTGTGCTTATAAAGGAAGATTTAATATCACGGATGTCATTTGCCATGAACACACACACAAATCCCAGAATAATTTTTTTAATTAGAAAAAATCTAAGAACATATATGAATGCCTGAGTATAACCAGAAAATATTTTGAAAAAAGAAAACAAATTTGACCTCGTAGATATCAAGGAATGATACGAAATTATTACAATTAAATCACTCTGGTATTGAGAACAATATAAGTAAAACAGATGATGGAATAGAAAGAAGAATCCAGAATAGACCCAGAAACTGATCCAGGATATACGTTTCAATCTCTTTAGCTACCTACCTACCATTTAAGTAGTAAAAAGAATAATTAATAAATAGAATAAATACAACTGGTTACTCATCTGACAGGAAATAAAACTAAAACCCCAGCTATATCATGTACATAGAAATGTGAGACTACAAAAAAATTCACAAATTTAGTTTGGCAAAACTTACCATACAAAGTTAAAGGATAAATAATAGATTTGAAAAAAAAATTGTTACCCAGAGGACCCACAGAGAATCAATATCTATAACACACATAGAACTCTTCCAATTTGCCAAGGAAAAAGTAATCTAATAAAAAAAAAAAAAAAGAACAAAGAATATGAAGAGTCAATTCATAAAACACTAAATCTAAATTGTCAAAATGCTTACATAAAAATGTTCCAACTGCATAAAAACATTCCATCTGGGAAATGCAAATTAAGGTAACAATGGGCTGTTACCTTACCTTATAACCGAAAATGTTATCACAACATTTTTGCAAAGAAATCTGTTAAGATGTATTAAATGTATATATGGTTTGTCCCAGAAATCTCACTTTTGGGAATATAATTTAGAGAAGTCACTATTAACTAAAAATAAATGTACAAGAATAGTTGCTGGAGCATTGCTTTGGGTGACAGGAAACTGGAATGCTCATCAATAGAGGAGCAGTTGCATAAATTGTTAAATAAACACTGTGAAATGTTTTGCAGCCTTCAAAAAGTGTGAATTTGGCCTATATTTCAGATTTGGAAAAATTTAAATGAGGTAGTGTTGAGATAGCCAAGTAAAAAGGGCTTGGGGAGAATCTCTGACTGGACGGGGCACTGGTGAAGGAGGTGGAGCCTCGGGAAGTTCCTGTTGTTTGCAGTGGGGAGGAGCCTGGCTTCTCCTGTTCCTGGGTGGTAACCTGGAATTCAATTGGTGAGATGGGGGCCTGTTAACAGGAACCCCTCTTACTTTGCTGAGTTTCTTTTTTTCCTTTTTCACTCAATACATTCTGTTTTTCTCACCATTCTATGTGTCCATGAGCCTGATCTTTTTTGGTCATTTGACAAGAACCCAGTTTTTAGCTGAAACGAGGAGAAAGTCCTACAACAGTGTTAAAGTAAAACAAAAATATATTATGAAGAGTATAATATGAAACCTTTTTTAAAGTCATAAAGACCTATATATTTTTATGTGTTTATACATGCTGTGTGGGGATGTTTATCTGGACATGAAGAAAAATAGAAACAGTGAACACGAGGCTTTTGGTTGGCATCAGTTATCTGTAATGAGAAGATTTGCACGAAGAAGAGGAGAGATGTAAAGGCAAAGCAAAATAATAATAATAACAAAATTACATAAGACTAAAGTATGTAATATTACCACATTTAAGCACTTATGTGAAAATGGATGTGAGTGTATATACACACATGCATTCACAGTGGGAACCCCTTATCCAGAGGGGATATGCTCCAAGGCCCTAATGGATGCCGGAAGCCAAGGAAAGTACTGAGCCCTTACACATACTGTTTTCCTATATGTACATTCCCCTGATAAAGTTTAATTTGTAAATTAGACAGAGTAGGAGATTGACAACAATAACAATAAATTAGAACAATGATAACAATCTACTGTAATAAAAGTTATGTGAATGTGGTCTCTCTCTCAAGATACCTTATTGTATCCATGATTTTCAGATTGCAATTGACCACAGGTACCTGAAACCACAGAAAGTGAAATCACAGATAAGGGGGAAGTTATTGTATATGCAAATATAATAATAACTGTTAAATAATTCAGGGAAGAACATCACAGAAATCCCCTTTGACTAAAGGCACCTCTCTATTATAATCATCAACATCAGGCCAGCCTCACAGAGCTTAAATCCTTGATGTCCTGCACAATGTATATTTCCTGAAACGAACTAGTATTTGTGTTCTAGAAAAGTTAACTGACAACACATAAATGAAGGGTATGAAGAACTTAACACCTGAATCCTCCTTTTCCATTCTCCTTTCCTCCACCAGTCACTGTGGTTTCAACTTCTGAACATCAAGTCTCTTTCTCTGTCCCAAGCCCCACCAACCTATGGAGTAGTGTCAGTTCTCACTTCAGTTCCAAACTCTGGCCCATTGTTGAGTCTCCCACTTCTCAGTCCAGAGCCCACAACATAGGAGAAAGAGGTTATGCAAAGAAATAAAGTAAGATGTTGTTTTAAGTTGGGATCTGTATTATGCTTTCCTATAGAAATATTTTATAAATCTAGCACAAATTCAAACATGTGTACAGGAGTTCACATAATATTGTGCATTAAAGTAAGCTTTCAAAGACTAATTTGGGAGAATAACCAACAGCTGTAATCCTGTTTCTAATGGAAAATCCAAATCCAGTATACTGTACACTAAAAAAAAAAACAAAAAACAACAACAAAAAAAGCCTTATAAAATAGCTTATAAGAACAAGCTGTTTACAAATTGGAAACTGTCTTTGTGAAAGAATTTTATAAATTATGAAGTTCATATACAAATATTTATGAAAGTGATCTGATTTTTGACTTGCTGGTGGACTTTGCTCTTATGACTGATTAGAATTATTTCCCTTCAATTTTCACTGCTACCATTGAGGCCATCCTGAAGCTCTCCACTAAACCAAAGTGGCCAGCCATCAAAGGTAGAAGGTCTTTAGTCAAGGCTTTATTCATAGTCAATTATCACAATTGTTATACTCATTTTTACTAAAGGGTTTGCTCTCAGTTGTTACCAAATGTTTCCAAGCTGAAATAGAAACCAGAGGTTACAAGGAAGTAGAAAAGAAAATTAACATGTTTTAAGCAACTACCATGTGCCAGGAAGTTTAATCATTACAATAACTATGAGTAGGTATTCCAAAGAAGGAAATAGACTCTGACAAGTTTAAACAATTTTTATTTTTTGGCATTAAGTAAGCAGTGGAGCTAGTTCCCTTTTAATGGATAACAACTAATTATTTTTAACTTTTATTTAAATATAGCATATTTAAGTAGTTTCTAAATCACAAGTGTTTGTTGTTGCATTTTCACAAAGTGAACACATCCTGTGAAACTGTGCTCCAAACTGTGGACTCAGAAGCCACACCAAGTGTAACCTTTCACTCACAATCCCCTCCACAAAGTTAACCACTCTCCTGATTTCCAGCACTCCTACCATCAGAGTAGTTTAGATTACATTTGTTTTACTGTTTGTGAGCTTTCTACACATGGAATCATAGAGTATGTACTCTTTTATGTCTGGCTTATTTTTCAACATTATGTTTTGGAAATTAATTGGTATTGTTGAGCTTGCTTATTCTAATTACTTATTCTAATATCCTACTGTGGTAACTACCACAATTTACTTACCCATTCTACTATTAACAGACATTTGCATAGTCTGTATGTTTAATTTTTGAATAGTAGTTCCATGAACATTATTGTACATACATGTCTTCTAGTACACAAATGTACACATTTACGTTGGCTATATACTTAGGAGTATAATTGCTATGTCACGGGATTCGCATTAGATATCTTGAATCATTGATGTTCTTTTTGACTTCTAGTTTTCTAAAGTGGTTATACCAATGTACACTCTCACTAGCAGCATATCAGAATACTTATGGTCCACATTCATGTCAACAAAGGCAGCTTTTGAAACTAGGTTTCTGACTCCAATACCCAATGCTCCTTTCCTTTCACCTAAATTTTATTTAAAGGTAAGAACTTGGTAACCATTCTCTTTTATAAATTCCATGATTCTTTCTAAGATTTTCATTCTTTGTTCATAGATTGATTTTCCTTTTTTATAATGGAAAACATATTTGTGCTGAATAGAATTTAGCAGCGTTATAAGGGTATCAGAGGCCTCATGTAAATATTTATCTTCATTAAGCCCAGCCTCTTCTATTTTCTCTGCATGGGTAAAAAGAATGGCTGTGTAATTCATCCAAGCATGTCCAAGAAGTTCCTGAAAAAGAGAAGAAGTTAAATAACTATTGAACTTGAACTATATTTCTCAAAAATGAGCAAAGAATTTATTATGGTCCAATATAGATAGCCAGAAGATCCATATTATTATGTTTCTGAAAGCTAATATACAAAGCAGGAAATGAAAACAGGGATAAGTATTGCAAGTAAATGAAGGGAAAGGGCTTAACTTTCTGAAAAAGGCTTTAATTCTCTGTTTTATTTTGCTATAATAAATGACATATACACAACCTCAAAACTGCATATTATCAATGCTGCATAGATTTACAACACTCAATAATCATTATATTTGTCTGACTACCTAACTCCATTAAAGCCACTGAATTTAAGTCAGAGGACCTTGGTCAAGGGAATTCTTTCATCTTTTATTTTTTGTAGAAATATGTTATCATTATCACTAAAAGCATCTACTAAAGATATAAAATTACATAATCAGTTTACAATCTATTGATTGTAATCAGGTGACATGTAATGGAAAAGCTAAGATACAAATACATTTGGTGATTTGGCTGAACCGTGAAATATTATTACTGTGACTCTCATCTTCCTGACTTCACATGCTTAGAATGGAACACAATTTATCTGATGACTTCCTCTAATGTGGCTGAAAAACACTGAAGACTGGCGTGCCTTTGTTTAGTAATACGTTGAAGTTGGTTATGTCATAAATTATTGTTTGATTAGTGAAAATAAGCTGATATAAAGCAGAAATAATGGCACATGACAAATTGTTCATGTAATATAAAAGGCATCTAGAAATAACCTTTGAACTTTTTTGGATATTTCCAAAGCTATATGAAATCAGAACAATGTGACAACAAAATAACATTCCTTCCATTCCAAACACACCTATTACCAAAATATTTCCAAAGTTACTACCAGTTTATAGCAAGAAAAATACGAAATGCCTAGTAATAAATGTCATTAGAAACATCTAGGACTTCTAATAATCAGAAGAAAGAAAGGAGAAAAACTAATATTTAGTGTTAGATATTATGCTAAGTACTTTACATGCTTTACCTCCTTTGAAGCATAACGTGATTCTTTGTGGGAGAAACTATTATAATCTCCATTATGATTCTGGCAAACAAACTCTAGTTTTAAAAAATTCTTGAAAACATTGGAAGTCTGGGAAATCATTTTCAATGTGCATAACAAATACAGGATTAGAATTTATAATATTGAAAAACTGAAAAGAAAACAGAAGGACATAAGAAAGAAAACAGAAAAGGTAGAAAGGAGAAAGGAAGGAAGGAAGGCGAGAAGGTGGGAAAACTGGAGGAAGGAAGGAAGGAATCTGGATATGTAGATCTAACATGAAAATGCTCATGAGAACAGTGGGACAAACCATTTAAAATTAGAAACATCACAATCATGGTTACCAATTTCAACTGACGCAGTCTGGCTTTTATCAGAGTCATTTCTTTATACATCCATTTTTACAACTTGATAGTGAACTCTTTGAAGGCAAGGTTCATGTCTTTCCATATCAATCAAAGCTTTTTGCACATTGTAAGCTCTCAGTAAACATCTGTTAAATTAATTTGGATTTTAGGCCCTCATTATCATCTCAAATAGAAGGCTTAGGGTTCTATTTATTTCTTTTGAGGGTTTGGTTTTGAAATATAATTAATCTTTGTGATACAATATTGTGCTTTCTTGTAAAGTTCCCCCCCCCTTTTTTTTTCTTTTTGCAGTTTATTATCATGAATTTGCCTGTAGTCTTCACTTTCTATTTTCTATTCAGAGGGACTCTTTCAAGGAATAGATCCAAAATTTTTCTTCATGTCTGTTCAAAATTTGTCTACATACACCATAGAATAACTGCATATTTCTATTTCTCCTAAAAATACCCTGCTTCTAGAAAATCTGAATTAAAGTTTCAAGATCAGTATATTAGGGTAATTATTATAATAGAAAGATTCTAAACTTAAAAAAATAATTTTTTAAAGAAGTACTTTAATTGGCATATTTGTATGTGCCTTTAAAACATAAATCTGTTAGCAATACTTCAGCCAAACTTTTAAAGAATACAACTCTTATGTAAATCTAAGTATCCATATAATGTCAACATCCCATTTTGGCTAATGGTAACATAGCAAAATTAGCAGAACTCTTTAGAGTTTGACATATATTCAGTATATTGTAACAGGTCTCTGCTTGGGCAGGAGTCACAGAATTGCAAAGTAAATGAACAATGATGTTATGGATTGAATTGCATCCTCCACCAAATTCATTTGTTGAAATTCTGATCCCCAGTTCTTCCAGATGTGACCTTATTTGGAAATAAGGTTGTTGCAGATACAATTTGTTAAGCTAAGGTAATTAGGGTGAGTTACCATCTAGTGTGATTGGTGACCTTATAAAAAAGGGAAATTTAGACAAAGACCAAGTTCCAGGATAGTGCCATGCGTACATGAAGATAGCCACCTACAAGCCAAGGAAAGAAGCCTGGAACAGATCCTTCCCTCACAGTCCTCAGAAGGATCCAACCCTGACAACACCTTGATTTCAGCCTTCTAGGCTCCAGAACTGAAAGACAGTAAATACCTGCTGTATATGCCACTCAGATTGTGGTATTTTGTTACAGTAGTCCGAGAAAACTAATAAAAGTGGCTAACGAATTAATAAAGTCCTACGTATATTTGATCTGGGCTCTGGAATACGGTGATCGCTGAATCATTTGCTTCAGAATCACCTGGGGGGCTTTTGAAAAATGCAGCAGAACTATTAGGGCTGAAGCCTGCCTGTAATTTTAATTTTATAAAGCACTTCAGATGATTTATTCCTTCTGCAAATATTTATTGAGGGTCTACTTTGTTCTAGGCATGTTCTACATGGTAGGGGCAGGTGTGGAATAAGACAGACATATTTTCTATTTACATTTAGTGGAGATGTTTGTGTACTAAATTAACTTAGGAAGGGAGACAGACAGGAAAGAAATAATTTTGAATTTGTTTCAATTGCAAGTGTGATAGAAATTATGTTTGTACTATAGAGGTGAGCATTTTGCCCATTTTGGGTGGCGGTAGGAAGTAGGGGTAAAAGGGAAAGATCAGGTAAAGTGTCTTACACGTAATGATGCATTGACCAGATTCTTAAAAAATACATAGGAATTAACAAGGTAATTAATGTAATCAAGCATGATGGAGATTGTACAGCATTGAGATTTTATTTCTAAACAAGTACAGCTACTGATCTTTGAACACTCATCTCTGTAGGTTTATCAAATTTAGAGCCAGACATGATATTCACCAAGTATGCTATGGATATGGTCATATTGATTGCCAAATATCAAAATGTTTTTATGCAAATTATTAAATAGCTACTGCTCTTAATTTCTTGAGGGTCATCCTAAACCTACCCTTAGATATGTATCGGCTGATGTGTGGATCATACTTGTTACTAAATATTTTCAAGCCCCAGTGGCTTAATGGATAAGGTATTGGCCTCCTTAAAAATTTTTTTAAATATAGTATTACTACAGTAAAAGTACATGCTAAATAAACTATTTGGCACAAATAGTCCTTTCTTGAGTTATATATCATAACACAGATTTATTTTCTTTCCAGGTTTGTACTTAATGAAGTAAATAGTTTAACTTTCATAGTATTCCTTTTATTCCTGGTTTTCTGTATTGTAACATTAACATGTTCCCTTTTTGTTTCCACCAGACATTTGCCATACTTTAAACCACAATTCCATTCAGAGAAAACGAGTTAAAGCACCTAAGGACAATAGATTTATAAACTCCATGCCACTTAAAAGTCCATGTGTTCAGCCACTGGGAAGTTTTTACATGTTTATAATTACTTATGAAAGGATGCTCATATCTTAAACTGTGAGAGAAATTGCACTTTTGAATAACTGCCAAAAACAGGAGAGAGTGGTTGATTTAGCTTAAAATCTTTAGATCAGTTTTGGCCAGAAAATAGTTGAATATTTGAAAGTAGTGTTGCTTGGTGAGTAGTCATCATGTTAGTGGCCAAGCATGTTCTCTGTGGACCCAGAGAAAGCATACTTACAGCTGATTGATACCTTACATTAAAATCCAAAAGCAAGATAAGTCAATGTAAGTTATCTGGTGTTAATAATTTAAATATAGTACTAAGCTAGATGAAAATTTTACAATCAATCATGAATTGTTTGGTTTCTGAGTGCTAATGGGTATGAGTCTATTTATTCCTTTTGGGAAAACTAGTTAGAATATAAACTTTGTTATCCAGGAATTATGTTCATTTTCCCAGGACCTCACCAGCCCTGCCCCATTTGTTTGTGGTTGATGAAATCATAGCATCTGGACTTTTTAGGGGGAAACTAAAAAAAAAAAAACAGCAAACTACTGAGAAAAAATTATCATGGAACAGGAGGACAATTTTCATTTTTTATACTCTATGTTATTCCCTTATTCTCACCCCACTTAAAAACATTACATTTTCCTTTTCAGAGAGCCAAAGCTGAATGATAATTTCTCGTTAGGTCAGATCCAGCGAATATTCAACCTCAGAGATCATCTGTATAAACTGCATCATTTTACAGATGAGGGTATTGAGGCCTTATGGTGTTAAATGACTTGGCCAAAGTCACATGGCTGATTATTGGAAGCTTGGACCTGGAACAAAGATCCCTTGTCTTTCCCACTAAATTGGGGCTTCTCAGCTTAACCATTCTAAGCCAGTGAAGATTTTCTCAGCATTTTTTCTAAATTAATAAAAAAGTTACTTCTTATAGTTATAAAGCAGGGACATGTAAAGTCGATTTTACTCTTATTTTCTTTGGAAGTCTACCAGGATAAACCTAAAAAACACTATTTACTAATTTTAGGATAAGACAAATACTAACAATAAATTAATAATGGCCAGAGCTATATGCGGTGCACTCGCCATATGCCTGTGCCTAAGCTGTATCCTTTACTGTTAATACGACACTAATCCCACAAGTAACCCAATGCAGTAGACACTACTGTCTTTCTCAATTTACCAAGGAAGTTTAGAGAAGTTACTTGCCTGAGATCTATGATATCTTGCCCATATCTAATAGTTCATTTGAATGAGTGCTCATTCACAGTCTTGGTAGTGATCATAATAATAAAAACAACAACAATACTAGTAATACTTCACCATTTTCTGTGACCTACTGTAAGTAGGGACGATGCTGAGCATGTCGCATTTATTAAAAATAATGCTCAGAACTCTTTAACACACGTAAAATTATCCCCATATTACAAGGAAGGAATTGATACCAAGAAAGTTTTAGTAACATTTGAATTCATACACCTATAAAGTAATTAGGCTTGTTTTTTAACTAAATTCTAACAACTAAGCCTATAATCTTAATTTAGTATTTTCAGGCTCTGAATTGGCTTTTCTGACCTTTTTGTAAACATATTTGTCTGCAACATCAACAGCTCCGTTGTTGATTATGAAATAAAAGTACATACTTGAAACTTGCTTGTACACAGTAATAGTACATAATAGTGGGGGGAAATGGACCTTAGGCAATACCTAGGCCTAATTCATAGCGCAGCTTGGCTGTATGCTAGCTGTTTCCTTGAGGCGACTATATGATATCTACCGGATTCATTATCTGTGGGTTTGTAAACATTCAAATGAGATTCCAGATAACATTCAAATAAGTTATTCCTTTTATTTCTCGATTTTGAGGACATGACTCACTAGTATTTCCATCATTTTACTGTAAATTAATAAAAGCCCAGCAAAAATAAAGAAAAAGGGATTATTTGGGGAAAATGTTTCCATAGTCACAGCCAGCAGCATATAACCCCTCTGCAAAATGTTAGAGTACAAATTGGGAAAGAAATTTAAAGAGACACCAGGGAAGCACAGGAAAGAAGAAGCTACTTCTCTGACACTGGCTTGGTAGACTCTTTCCACAGCACTAGTCAGTGCCCCTGAAAAGGGGTAAAAGAAAGAAGGCAGACACTCTATTCTCCATGTTGCATCAGCCAGGAAGAAAACGAAATCCAGAGTGTGCCTGAAACCTGAGGACTTAACAGCTTCTTGCTCCTTCCTTACAGCTGCTAGCCCTGTTGAATATTCAGTCACTCTGCAGCTGCTCCCAATCTGTGAGCACATACAGATGGCTGCCACCAGTATCTGAGGCAGCTTCAGGAAGATCATAAATAGTCAGCCTGTGCTTAAGTGACCATCAACCAAAGACTGCAGCAGAACCTCAGAATAGTTCTGCAGTGCTCCCAGGGGTCATAGGCCACTCAAGATTGTTAAACCTTGGCTGCTGATTTTCTTGGGAGACAGAAGTTATTTATTCCAGAAAGAAATACTCAGGATCTAAGCTTTGTCCTAGTTCATCTCCTCTCTGCCTCCAATTCCTAAATTGCACACTGATTTGGAAGGCAGCTGTAAGAGAAGACCATATGCCAAATATTGTTTTAAAAGACCAAAGACATGTATGAATTTAGCTCACATGTATAAAGAAAGCCTCACAGATGACATTATTGTCCCATATACTAAAACTAGTAAAATCTGTTTCTAAAGGCATGTCATTTAAAATTACCTTTGGGGCTCAGCATAGGTTCATGATAGGGAAAAATATTGAGACATATGGAGAGAGTCAGGGTAGCTTTTGAGAAATAGTTGTTTATGTGTTTACTGAATTTACTGAATTACATCCATCTATAGCCCAGCTAAATGTTTACTTCATAATAGCTTTAAATGAATTTTTTAAAACTGTACAAAGATTATACTGATGTCATGGATGCTGGCTTCTCAGCACTTGATTTCTACCAGAAACATTGTTTGAAATACAGGCTTTCATAATTTGGAGGAGGTTTGTGGGTTTTCTTAGATCCCATATTGTTTCTTAATTGCAATCATCTTCTATTCTTCATTACTTTTGTATAGCGCGCCCTTGGATTTTCAGGAGTTGCATGATGAGGATGTTTTTTATCCTCTTGTCACCCTGATTTTTCCACTAGTTTCTTGTGGTTATACATATGGCTTTTTTTTTTTTTTTCATTTTTAGAAAAACACACAGTTACTGAAAAACGGTGTGTGTATCTGTCATTTAGAAGTATCTTTTCTAGTTAAAGGAAAAAAAAACCTTCATGAAAACAAAGTAACTATCTTCCTGGGCTGTAACAGGGCCTATGTCAATATGAGTTGAGACTGAACCAAAAGAAGAGTAGCATTTATTCAAGTTCTTCTGGAACAGAAAAGATCTGTTCACCATTCTGCATACATTTAACTGTGGAGCTTCTAGTAGACCTGGTGTCTCTGAACTCAATGACTCATTGAGGCTCCTGAATAATACTAGTGAAGTCAGCAGTAAAATTTAGGTTGACTCAGACTAAAGAATGAAGAGATTGAATAGAATAGAGCAGCTCAATGAATAGTTTCCAGGAATTGTTAGTACTAGTCCACACAGGGCTTGCTCAAACACATCACACACACACACACACACACACACACACACACACACACACACACACACACA